AGAACGGTTCCCAGTGCCCGTGCCCTCCGCATGATAGCTCATGAGGGTTCTATGACGTGTTGTTGGTTGCAATGCTCCCCTACTCGGAGGTAGGCTAAGTCGCGTCTTCCTGTGTAAAGTCGTACCGTGCACGCATGTCAGGTGGGGGAGGGCGTTCTGCATGGACTTGCTATTAGGAGATTCTAGACGTCGGAGGTGTGACAATAAAAAAGTTCATCGAATGCTTGCAGGTGCAGTTGCACATAGCAAACAGCCAAGTATTTCCCAGGCGTGCGGCTGTAAGCACAAACCTGTTCGTGTGCAGCGTGTGCGCCTGCAGAACGGCATCGATTCAGGGGTCTGTGATGTGACTTCATGCTTGATGCTGAGAGTTGATCCGCGTGCCCCTGCGGAGCTGTGACTTCGGGCACAAGGATGGGAGTTAGCCTCCCTCAGTGCACGGTGCCAGTCTTTGTGCGGTGCAGTTTGCTGACATCGTTCTGCGCCTTCAATGCATTTTGCGCATCTTCTCGGACTTGCGCATCTTCTCAACAATTCAGAAGTTCACACCGCTTGGTCAAAGCGGACGAATCTGCCTCGGGGCCGATCGAGCCTTGATGACGCCTTCAGACCTGCTGAAAGATCACTCTGTTTGACTCAGCGCTCCGAAGCTGACTCGCTCACTCACTCATGAAGCAGTTCGTCCTGAAGGCAAACAGGCTGCGGACATTTGCAGCTGCAGGTTGGGCCCGGCAAGTGCACAGGAAGTCTTGTCATTGGCTAGGAGCTGGCCAATGCCGTTTAGGGTTTAGGGTTTGGGGTTTAGGCCTGGGGAATCTCCGTAAGTGGATGGACCGCTGCATGCCAGGTGCAACTGCAATAGCAGTGACCAGAAACTGCCCTGCTCGAATGACTGGCAAGTGATTCCCCCTTTTGAATAACGAGTCTCTGGGAAGGGGGGTCACTGTCCGTCTGTCCTGTTTCTGGCTTGCTTCCAGGCCGATTATTGTGACACTCCCTAAACCCTAAGCCCTAAATGCTAACCGTGAGGCGCTTCTGGGGATGTGTTCAATCATTCGTGTCAAGACAGTGGGTTTAGACCCATTTCTGTGATGGGGTCCCCACCCCTCCCCATTCTCCCCCTGCACTAAAGAGGGGGAAGGCAAGCATGCCACTTGGCCCAGCAAGTTTTATGCCGTCTCAGTAGCCTTAATGTTTGCCTCAGACATGCCAGATCTTAAAGCACAGAGGATAGCCAGGTATCCTCGGGGTCGCAAAATCAGCAACCGCATTTTGCCGTGGCCAATCTGATGCCATGCACTTGGCAAGCCGGCCGGTTGCCGTTGGGTCATGTTGGAGGCCGAAGCAGGGCATGCACGTCAGAAGCTTATGCCGACACCGTGTTGGGCTGGGACGCATCCGGCTTGGAGCAGCGGCTGCCTTTGCAGCCTGCTGCCTGCACCCTTCACAACATTATGTGCGCCATTCGGGATACAGTTGTCCTTGCACTCGGAAGACCTCCATGCTGACAGGCTCCTTGAAGCATCGTGACATCACCTGCTGGCCGCGTTCTGCTTTGCTTTGTCTTCGCAATCCAGAAGGAAGGCCAGGGTGTTGCAGGTGCACTGTTCCAGCTGGGCTTCCAAAGGCGATTCTTCCCGCCATTCGTTCTGATAAGGACTTGGGCTCATGTGGCTAGGGCCCTTCCGAGGCCTCACATCTCATCAGAAGTTTGTGTCGACATGGCGATTGGCTGGGTTGCGGCAGGCTTGGAGCAGCTGCCCTTGCAGCCTGCAGCCGGCGCCTTTTGCCACATGCTTGGAGTGGCTGCCTCTGCAGCCTGCTGCCTGCACCCTTCACAACATTATGTGCGCCATTCGGGATACAGTTGTCCTTGCACTCGGAAGACCTCCATGCTGACAGGCTCCTTGAAGTATCGTGACATCACCTGCTCGCCGCGTTCTGCTTTGCTTTGTCTTCGCAATCCAGAAGGAAGGCCAGGGTGTTGCAGGTGCACTGTTCCAGCTGGGCTTCCAAAGGCAATTCTGCCCGCCATTCATCCTGGTGTTTCTGGTTACTAGTTGTCTCAAGATGAACAGGATTTGGGCTCGTGTGGCTAGGGCCCCTCCGAGGCCTCACATCTCATCAGAAGTTTGTGTCGACATGGCGATGGGCTGGCACGCATCAGTAAGCCCATACCAGTGTCCTTGTTAGTTTCCGCATGGATGAGCTCCGTTGCATGTGTTGGAAGATCTCACAGCACGTTGACCGCGCAAGGGCCTCGTATGCATGCAGCTCTCAGAGCTCTTGGTCCAACATCCAAGTGGCCCAGAGCCCGCAATGGCCTTCGGACTGATGCATGCCAGGTGCCCTGAGGGCGAAATGGCAGTGAACAGAAACTGCCCTGCTCAATTGAGGTGTGCTGGGCCCAGCAAGTTTTATGCCGTCTCAGTAGCCTTAATGTTTGCCTCAGACATGCCAGATCTTAAAGCAGACAGCTGGCGCGGCTGGTTCAAGGCAAATGCAGAGGATAGCCAGGTATCCTCGGGGTCGCAAAATCAGCAACCGCATTTTGCCGTGGCCAACCTGATGCCAAGCAAATCTCCATCATGCAGTTGGCAGGCTGGCCGGTTGCCGTTGCGTCACGTTGGAGGCCGACGCTGGGTGTGCACAAGCCCATACCATTGTTCTTGTTACTTTCCGCGTGGATGAGCTCTGCTGCATGTATTGGAAGATCTCAGAGCAGGTTGACCGCACAAGAGCCTCGTGTGCCTGCAGCTCCTCTGAGTTCTCAGCCTGATACCCCAATGTCCGAGCTCTGCAATGGAATTCATGCTTCAAAAGCATAGGGTCTTGCTATGCCTGTTCCTGCACCCACTGTTCCGCAGAACTTTCGCAAGTCTGGATCGATGCGTGCCAGGTGCTCTGGAAGGCGAAAATGGCTCAACTGACTGGCAGGTGTGCTGCTGTCCAAGCTACGCTTGGCCCAGCAAGTTTTATGCCGTCTCAGTAGCCTTAATGTTTGCCTCAGACATGCCAGATCTTAAAGCAGACAGCTGGCGCGGCTGGTTCAAGGCGAATGCAGAGGATAGCCAGGTATCCTCGGGGTCGCAAAATCAGCAACCGCATTTTGCCGTGGCCAACCTGATGCCAAGCAAATCTCCATCATGCAGTTGGCAGGCTGGCCGGTTGCCGTTGCGTCACGTTGGAGGCCGACGCTGGGTGTGCACAAGCCCATACCATTGTTCTTGTTACTTTCCGCGTGGATGAGCTCTGCTGCATGTATTGGAAGATCTCAGAGCAGGTTGACCGCACAAGAGCCTCGTGTGCCTGCAGCTCCTCTGAGTTCTCAGCCTGATACCCCAATGTCCGAGCTCTGCAATGGAATTCATGCTTCAAAAGCATAGGGTCTTGCTATGCCTGTTCCTGCACCCACCGCTCTGCATTCGCTGTGTTCAGACTGAATCCGTCAATGAAGCTCCAGCGCAATCGCATCCTGTGCGTTGCAGCTAATCGAGTCACCCTGGTTGGGAAGCAAGGGGTGTGGCCGGATTTGAGGTAGCCAGCCGCTAACACAGCACCGTCGCCGCCGACGCCGCAGGCAACACAGGGTCTGTCGGCAAAGGTCCCTGAGCCACGGCATGTCTGCAAGCACTGTGCGCCCAGTTTTCTGCCAGCTTTGGAGCGGGCTGGCAGAAAGAGTTGTCTCGGATCTAGCTCCTTTCTCAGCCTGCACGTGCTTGCTTGACAGTGGATGTTGCAAAGCAGCTCTGAAATTGGCCCCGGCCCGTGGACAGCATCTCATATCTTCCACCCCTGTGGGAACCTGGTAGCTTAGCGGACGATGCCGCCCGTTTTGTTCCAGTCCACACCTGCGTTTGCCGCACCAGTCCCAGAAATTCAGTGCTCTCAGGAGGATGGTCTGTTTGCAGCAGCTAGCCATGTGCCGCAGGGCGCACGGATCATCAAGCGGTGCATCATGTTCTCGTGTAAGCCAAGGTGCAAGATGCTGCAAGCAAACCTGCTTGGCTTGCTTTGTCTGCTTCTCGGATGTGCTAGCCGCTAGTCCGCCGCGATGCTGCAAGGTTCAGCTGGCCTGGTGCCAAGCAAAGAGACCCAGGCAGGCCGAGGGCCTCGGTCCGGGCTCTGGCATTGCCATCGGCCCAAGCAAGCGGGAGTTTGGATGTCGTGTTCTGCAGTCTATGGTTGCTTCCTCTAGAGGTTTATGGTGAACTCCTGTAAAATGTAGTGTCGGGGACCGTACCAATGAGGCAGACATAGACCTGCTTCCACACCGTCGCTGCAGATGGACTAGGTGCAAGCTGCAACTGCTGGCGCCCGTTACATTCTTCATGTCGCTGTGCAAGGACAATTACTTTCAGAATAGCTAGCTTTCACAGGGTCTACTATCCTGAGCCAACGGAATTACAAGGGAAGCTCTTGCAGCCCGTGAGTTGCTCCAGCTGAGCAATGGGGCCAAATGCATGCACGAGACATAGCTGAAGTAAACAGGACACACGAAGTAGATCAAGGGAGTTTATGACAAGTTTAGGAAGGAATTGAGAAGTGATTCGAAGTAGCTGCAAATTGATTGATGCCGAGGATGGTGAGGTGAAGACGCCAGGGTAGGCTGTAAGAGCTGGCAACGAGGGGGATCACAATTTGTAGCGGCTTGAAGCATGCCATGGCATGGCAGCACCTGGCTTCAACTCGAATCGAAGTCAGCTCGATGACGAGACTCCCAGGAGATGCAGCTTGTCACCAGCGCCATCCATGGCCAAATTCTTAGAAGGCGAGCCCCTAAAGATGCGAGATGTGAGGTCTGCCAGCGTGGGCCTCTCAGATCACCGAGGATGCAGAAGATCTGCCCTTGAGCATACTGCTGGCCAGGGCATTCTGATTCCGACCAAGCTGCAGCAGCTGCGGATAAGCGCTGCCACGATAAGAAGTGACAGTAGCGAAGCTGTTGAGGTGAGCAATCAGCAAGAAGTCAAAAGTCCTCGGCCGAAGCGAGCGCCAAGGGCAAAAGCATCGCCGAAGGCTTCAACGCAAGCCCCAGCGAGGACTTCTCCCACGGCATCTCCGCAGGGAAGGCGTAGACGCCCTGACAGCCCAGCACCATCCGAAGCCAGCAGAGTTGTTTGCCAAAAGGCAGAGATTTGCCCTGCTAGGGTTGGTAGCCAAGCTGCTCCAAGCACCCCTGCACGATCTGCGCAGAGCTCGGAAGCAGACCAGACAAGAGCGCTGTGAGCCCAGCCCCCAAGGCGCAGCCGAGCCCCAAGGCAACGGCCAAGGCACAGAACAAGCGAAAGACTTTAGCCCAACGGCTCGGACGGCCAAGAAGGAAGAGGTCAAGGCGGCCAAAGCAGCCTCCAAAGCAGCAGCCTATCAGACCAAAGTCCAGGAGACAGGGCAGCGCATAGCGGATGCGATACGAAGCGACCGGAAACTCTACGAGAAACTGCTGTGCTTAGGGGTCATGGAGATGGAGGAGGTAGCAAAACAGCTGCGTGCGGCTGACAAAGGCCTAAGCTCAGTGGGCCGGAAGCGGATGCGAGAGTTCCTTGAGGCTCAGGGCTTCGTGCTGACACAGCAGAAGAAGCTATCCAGGGAGGTCTACGAAAAGAACCGGTCCTGGTTCCGAGGGGGCAGAGGAAACTACCCACACGATCTCAAGTTTCTGAGATCTGAGAGTTTGAATTAAAGTTCCTCCCTTCCTGCCCTGGGTCATTCTCATGCCAATGCCAGCTTGAGATGTGTCACCATGGTCAGTGGGGCCTCTGTCAACGATCCCTTATTGGCATGGCTGTGCCTTCCGAGAAAGCCATAAAAAGAAGTGGTGGTGCAATGGCTGACTTCAGATGCAGCATTCACGAAGTAGCAGCATCTAGGTCTTCTTCACACCTTCAGGTCTGCAACCGTCTGCAACCTGCAAGTGCAGAGCTGCGCTAGCATTCTAAAGCCTACTTATAGCACTTTGCCCCTTGTTTGGGCCCCTAAGCATTTTTTGGGCAACTCCCCTTGGGCGCAGACGCCTCACTTGGGATCAGGGCACACTTTTACAGTGCTAACCTTCTCCAGTTGTTCAACTAGCCTTGCCCTATGTTTGTCCGTACCTCTCCTGCCTGTGCATCTTGAGGGTTTGAGGCATCGCATAGGACAATGGTATGACAGCTGCAGGAACATCACTCTTAGTTCCTGTTGCACGGGCTGTAAGGAGTCTCTGCGACCGTGACACCGTGGCTGTATGTCAGCAATCGGCTCACAAAGCTTCTGCAAATGATTGTGGAGCCTCAGCGCAGACGAGCATGTTCTACATCCCGCTTGCAGAAGCTTGTCCACTCGCCCACTCGCAGCTGCACCCCTTTGTTCTTGCAGACTGCGTTTTGCCGCACCAATGTTACCCGAGATGCAGACCGGGTCAGGGTGGTTGTGAAGGTCAAACAGGGATAAACAGGGCTTTGACATTGAGTTGTAGAATCTAGAACTGATGATCGGCTCTGTGGTGAGCAAGGCTTTCCCGCCACTTTGAGCCTCTTCGGAGTCAGGTTTCCAGGACGTTGACATCCGCCCAGATAATCAGGTAGCAAAACCGCGCGGATTTTGAGGACAAGCATGGTGATTGTTTGCCAGGTGTGTTGTAGCTCTAGAACGTCGGGCTTATCTTCTGCTGCACGCAGCCGCTCACTAGGTGAACTCGAGGGTCCACAGTGCAGGGACCTTTTGCCGAGCTCCTGTGAGACTTACGGACTTAGGGAGTTCTCTTTCCCCCCCCCCCAGACACACAAGCTTTCAGGGCTGTTCGACTGCAAACCGCGACTTGCAATCCTCAGGTGTTCGGGGACAAAAGCGGCTCCAGAAGAGACCTCCCTGCTTTACTGGTACCACGTGGGCACGAGATCTAGTGCAACTACCACATGCCAACAGTTGAGCTGAAGTGCTTGATAAGCAGCAAAGGCGTAACTGAATGTCATTTGCAATGTTGATTGTGCATGCTGGTGTTTATGTTCTGTTGCACCGGTGATGTATAATTACATGGTATTCCTAGGTATTCCTATGTATTCCTATGTATTCCTCCCCGGTTGCGGGATTTTCCTCAGGACATAATAGCGCTGTCTGCAAACAGACGTGCCGGCCAAACATGTCCCGATTGCTTTGATTGTTGATGCATAAGAATTTTGATGGAGTGACCGACTTACAAAACTGTGCCGGTCATGTTAATCGGTAGAACTGTGGCTGTGTTTGGTCAATTTCCTTCTAGTTTGTTTCCATCGTGTCGTGTTTCGCATTTGAGCTGCCGGCATTTCCTCGACCAAGAGCAGAGCAGGGGTGCAGATTTGAAGATGAACATGACAAAGCTCAATTTGGCATGTGAGTTTCTTATGATACAACACGTCCCTGAAGGGTCAATTGCAGACAGGCAGTAAACATTTGTGACGTTGACATTGCTGCATTGGTAAGAAGCAGTTGCAGCAACAAGCTTATCCAAAACGCGCGAGTCGTGTTGGAGCATGTGCAGTTTGGATTGTTGCGTGGTTGGGAGCTGAGACAGGGGCGGCTTCGATGACGTATTGAAGCTGCATGACCGGATGAAGTGTGATAGTTTTCCAAAGCCGCAAGATCTGCGTTTCAAAGCAGGTTTCGCATAGGCATAGGTTGATGTTGAGCTTATTGCTTGGAACTGAGGCCATCGTTTTTGATTCATGAGGAGCTGATGTTTCTGAGCTTACAATCGCTGGTGATTTCCTGTTTGCCCTATGTTTCCTTGAACTTGCTGCAACAAAGCGTGCCCAGATGAAGGTGCCCAAGGGGCTAAAATTGTGTTGGAAAACATCATGCCAAGGCAAGCTGGTTTCCTCAACCGTCCACCTGCAGCAGTGGGCCGACGGAATGGCGAGAATGCCAAACATGCTGCGAAAGATCTTGCCAAGCTGGATCAGGACACCATTGCCGTTTGCCCTGTTGCGGACAAGTTTTTGTTTGCAGTAGTTTTCACAGTATTGTGCATGCACTTGCAGGTGCAAGCCTTTTCGTGGGGTCGAAGCAAAGACGTGCTTCGCGAACATAACTCGAATGATGATGAAGGCTTTTACTTCGGCATCAAATTTTACTTGAAGCAACAATGCATTTTGCAGGTGTGATAGCACTTCGGAAAGATGCTGGGAAGCCGCGCCCGCAATCATTGAGCTTTTGGTCTTTTCTGCAGACAAAAAATCGCCCAACTCAAAGGTCTTGCGTTAGCAGGTTGATGGAGAAGTTTGTGGGGATTCCTCGAAGTGAAGCGCAGTTGGCAGAGGTTGAGGCTTGATGCCCGAGAACGAAGCAAACTCTGTGAAAAATGTTGTCCTTGCAGACTTGGGGGCAAATAGAAATATTTGAAGTCAAAGATCAAAAGAAACTGAGGCCTACAGCTCGGTTTGACCTGGGTGACATTTGTGAGGTTGTTGGTGGTGCGCGCATTCCTCAGGATTCTATCGCTGGATTTGTTTCTTTCGTGCGGTGTCACACGTGTCCAGGTTGGTCCGTGCATCAGAGGAGCTTGACAGTGAGAAGGTGGGTCAGCTCGTGGATGGGCCGCTTGCTTTGCCTGGCTTGAATTTGCTCCAGACACTGTTTTCTGAAACGTGACAGCTTCGCTTGTTTGCCTCCTAGCTCAGGTGCCGTGCGGAAGTTGTAGAAATAGGCGGGTTCGATGTTCGATTTCAAATTCATCAGAGGTGAAACATATTGCTGTGCTGGCAGGGTCGGGACCAACCGGCAAGCGAATTGCCATTGAAGACACAGATGGTGTGCGAGGATGGGCCGCGGCCTTGGTGTCATAAAAGCCTGCCTTTCTTCTTTCACCTGCTGCGGCTTCTTGTCACAGTGTTTTGGCAGGTAAGCGTGGTGGCCACAACTGGGGAAACCCTCATCCGCATCATCGAGAAGGATCTTGCGTGGTTTGCGCATATTGGCATGGCAGTAACATCAGTAACGTTTTGGCAGGCTCTCCGAGGTGAAGCTCGCACCAAGAGGCGACAGCCTTGTTGCGCGGCCGTGGGAGAACTCTTTTGAAAAGGGGATGAAGGACCATGTAATTTTGGCCAGCCGATTACGATCATTGCAGGATTGAAGCGGCAGCAAAGGCGGCACGGCCGGACTGCAGCAAGCCCACTGCGCGCTTTGCCATACTCTTAGAAGAGCTTGAACGTCACTGTTTAAGAAATTTTTGCAAGTGGCCTTGCCAGTGCACGGTTTGTTTTTGACACTGTTTTCTATTGTCAGGATGTGGGAGACGTATGCGATGTTGTCGGAGGAGCGCCGGAACCTCAGCTGCTGCAGCAGATGGCTGCGGATCCTTTGAAAGATGACTCAGGATCATGCGAGAGACGGAGGAGCTTGACAGTAAACTGCTTGGGAAGCTCCAGAACAGGAGTCAAGTCAAGGCACGGGGCGCAAACAGATGACATGTATTAGGGCCATCGGTCAGGTTGGTGGGACCTTTCCATGGCTGTGGCATTTTTCAAGCTTTGAGGTTACAGTTCGTGTATCAAGAGATTAAGGTAGGTAACAGTTGACTTTGTAGCGGCACATTGAAGAGCAACCAAGTCAAGGTGGTGGAGATCGGCGCTGGACCAACAGGCAAGAGATTGCTTGTTGCCGATGAGACAGGCCAAGCTCCCAGCTTCTTGAGCGAGGTTCAACGTCAGGCTAAAAGCGTTTTGACGCTGAAGTGTGAGGTCGTGCAGGTTGGATCAGTGTGGTCTCATCTGATGGTGCGGCCCGACATCTTTGCAAGCTGTGACGGGTACGTGGGTACTGGATACAGTTATGAGTTATGACAAACAGCTTCTCAGCTGTTCAAGGTAGTTTCGCCCGCAGTTGCAGCCACATCATGGACCAAAGAGACATTAGACGCTTGCAGGTACGCAGCTTCTGCGGCCCGTGAAAACGTGCATGACACAGAATGTCACTGTTTTTTAGGTTCTTTGGCGCCTTTTTGTAAGCATCAAGGCCGGAGCCAATGCCAGCTCCTGTGACACCTCAAGAAACTCGGGCCGGATGCCAAGTTCGTGCACAGAGTAAGTTTATGTCACCTTCCATGTGTGCAACTGTTGCTGACGCGGTGGTGTTTTTGGGACTCGTCTTGCTACAGCTATACTCCTGTTTTCGAGGGGTTTCCTTTTGATGGTGATGCCGCAACCCAAAGTGTTGTTCGGTGATTGTGTTCTCCTTGAATCTGGAAGGAGGTGCAGGATGTGGAGCAGCTTCCTCGACCAGCCATCTCCAAAGCTCACAAGGCAATGCCAAAATCTGGTGTGCGCACTTGAGACTTGATAGAATGCGGGTTTCGAAGAACACGCTGTGACATGTTGGCTCCTGGAGTTCAAGCGTGTCAGCACGTCTGCTTTACTAGTACTATGGTCTGTTGGGTTTCATTCTGGGTTTCTTGCTGAAGTCAGGATACACACCAATGTCCGTCGTTTTGGCTTGTGGATGAGTCTTGTGTGATGCTGTGTAGTTTCTGACAGCTGAGGGATGTGCGCCGTTGAACTGGTTCCCGAAACTTGTTTGAACATCTTTTGTCTTAGCGCATGGCTGTGAGGACATGGTTACGCAGGCCCTAGCCCCCTTCGTGGAGCCAGCCATCTTGGCCAGGAGCTTGTCACAGAAAAGCACTCGAGTCAAAAGGTTGATGAAGTAAGCACCATGACATCTATTGCAACTGGCGACAGGCTGTGTGTGGCACTGCAAAAGAGCCGTTGGTCGTTGGCAGTTCCTTGAGTTGCAGTCTCTGAGGTGAGCTCCACACGGGCGCAGCGCGGCTTTGACCTGGTCTGGGACCTGGGCCCGATTTCTCATGACTCGAGCGGAGACCATGAGGTCAAGGTGTCGTGCTGGTCGCTGTTGCCGCTCCACCAGGAAGATTACTAATGTTTGGCAGCAGAAATCAGCAGAAGGAATGAGTAGCAGAAGCAGTGGCAGTAGTGCCCAGCAGCGATGGCGGCGGCGGCGGCGGCGGCAGCAGCAGCAGCAGCAGCAGCAGCGGCAATGATAGTAATGAACTAGCCTTCTAGACATCAGAAGAAGCAACATGAGCAGCACAGGTCCAAAAGAAGCAGCGGAGGCATCACGTCACCACGAGTCGTGCTTGTTGCCGTCGTCGCTGCCGTTGTCGTCCTTGTTGTCATCGTCCTAGTAACTGCATGACCAAAGTATACTACAATACCATGATTCACAAGGTATAAGGAACTTTCTGTCTTACAGGATTGGTATCCGCTGTTGTCGTCGTAGTTGTCATCGTTGTCATCGTTGTAGTAGTAGCAGTTGTAGTGGTGGTGGTGGTGGTGGTGGTGGTGGTGGTGGTGGTGGTAGTAGCCGCAGCAGCAGCCTGAGCAGCGGCAGCTGGTTGCGCCTAACAACCGCGTACCATCCTTGACATACCAAAGCCTGAAATCCGTGGAGCACTCATCACGTGCAGAGGATGCGAGGCATTTGGGGAGTGGGGTGGGGTTCTACAGCATTTGAATAGTTTTAGCGTGGGTGAGGCACGCCCACCCCCAATTTTAGGGAGCATGGTTCGTAGGCAGGGGGAGGGGGGGGCGGCTACTGCTAATAGTAGTAGTGATAGGCAGTGGTGCGGGCAACATGACCATTAACCTCCCAGGAAGTGTCCTATTTGGAAAGAGAGCACATGGAGCAGCTCCTGGCTGACAAGCTTCTGACTCGGCATACCGGCTCAGGCTGAGGAGGTTTGCAGAGATATTTCGTGCTTCTTTGAGGTTTGCCACCGAGGGCATTCAGGACGGGCTCTTCGAACACATCGTGCGGTCGATGACTGGCAGACATGCTCGACTAGACGGCTCTCAGGAACCCAGCTACGACCATGTGAAGCTTCGTGATGCCAGAGGAAAGTGGTACAGGTTGGAAGCAGAGCAACTCGTGCTGAATGCATGTTGCCATATTTGGAGTGCGATCTGTGCCAGGCCTGGCGAAGCACCCGATGTCCCAACACCGGACTTGTTTCCGATCATGCTGTACTACAGGCCCTTGAAGCCGTGCCCGTGGGAGTATCACCAACTGAGCTGATGTTTCGATGGGTAGTTGGCGTTGGCAGTGAGGCTTTGTGCCGGGAGGATAGAGTTGGGGACAGGGGTGGGGCAAAGAGCAGAAAGTGGCGCGGGAGAGTCTCTCACGCCGTGGAGACAGGGACAAAAGATTACAGCAGGGGTTTTAGGCGAGAGTCAAGCACTTAACGAAATGAAGGACTGTGTTTTGATGCTCATCAGGCCTCCGAAGCCTGAGCAGTCTGCAGAGATGGTGCCGGGCTGAGCCTGTTTGACATAGTGCCATCTAAGCGACCTCCTCCATGTTCTTGACCTTTTTCCATTCTCGTTGTGGCCACTACGGGGCTAAGGCAGATTGTGTTTCCTTTTATCATGGATGTGTGCGATGCCTTGAGTTTGTCTTCCAAGGTGCTCGCCATGCGCCAGAGGAAAGCTTACGAGGCAGTGCCTAATGTCACATGGTAAACTCAATCTCACATGGGGCGCCAGGGGTTGACACCAACTCAGCGCCGTGGGTTATCAGAGGTTCAGTCTGGCGCCCACAACAGAAACGACAGCTTGCTTCCTCAGCATCAAAACGCCAGCATATGCCAGCGTTTTGGAATTAAGGCGCCAGCTGGAGAGGGCTTATTCCACAGAGAGCAACGACCTGCTGGACTCCAAATGGCTATGCGAGCGATTTGGCTTGTGAAACTTTTCGCTTTCTTCCGGAGGACCGCGCAATGCGGCTGGCGCACTCGCTTGGCCTGCCGCTGGGGACTGCTCCAGAAAAGCTTCGACTTGTGACTTGAGCGGATTTAGATGGATTCAGGGTCTTCACGCGGCTGCAGGAGTGCCGGCTTACCAGTCTCGCTGATGCCGGAATCTGTCTGCTTCCCCAAAGGTCTGAGACCTAGCAGTATACCAGCCTGCTGGGAGAAGGCCGTACTGCTTGGTAGCACTCAGGCAACGAGCCCTTGCTGTATGATGGGCACCTCTACTCCATGCAATCGACTTCCATGCTCGTTTTTGACCCTCCTGACTTCAGCGTGCTCGTACCTCAGCCTTGTCCACTCATGGTCAGTGAAGCTTTTCATGACGGAATCTTGCAGGCCAATGGGGGTGTGGAATCCACAGCGTTTGGACCCAAGGCGTTTCTGTTTGTGTCATACTGACACATACCAGACTTGAGGTCAGCGTGTTGATCCAGCTGTGATGCAGTCGGGGCCTTGGCACTGGATGTTGAAGAAGGGAGGAGAAGAAGAAGTAAGTCACAGAAGTAGCTACACGCAGTTTGAGCTCGCTTGCGCGGCCATCCTCATGAGGAACGAAGCAGCCGGGCGCACTGACATCATCCACTTTGGGAAGTGCGCCTGCTGTAGCTGTCTTGTCGTGGCTCCTACTGCGAAACCAATTTCCATATCCGCATGGGAGGACCTTCCACATGCTGGAGCAAGGGCATGTCATTGATCCAGACTCCCAGCAGGCTTCGCTTTTGTGGAATCCAACTTTCAAAGTAGTCGACTTGTACCAGATTAACATGTTTCTGCACGGTATGGTGAGTAAGAATCTTCCGCTGTCTCGTGTGGAGGTGGTTGGGATGATTCGTCCCATGAACGGAGACTTTGAGTTCTTTGATCCCATCCCATTACCTGCTGCAAGCCCGAATTGGATTTGCATGCGCCAGCCGTAGCACGCACCAAAGCTGAGGTTGCCGATTTCATGATGAGACGCGGGTTTCGACTCGAGGCTCCATCTGCGAGGCTCACCCATGGACCCTTCGTGTGTCTAGATTGCAAGCTGATATGCTTGGATGGTGTTGCCGGTTGCGAGTCTCGCTAGTTTGCAACTGGGTGAATGACAACCAAGGCAGATCCTGCCTCAGGCAGGCTTGTGTGCTTCTAGGCCTTGATCTGCGTCATATCTGTGTGCGAGAGGTGGGGGATGATGACGGAATCCCAGTACCAACCCTGGATACCAGAGCTAGCACCGGTGGAGTGAACATTTTGTTGAGCTTCATGAAGCGGATGGAGTGTGAGTCTCATCTGGATTTCATTTTGCTCAGGAGCTGCATTTGCAGATGCAGAGTGCTGGCAATGCAAAAGCGTGTGCTGGGCATGTTTCCTTTCTGCAGCCTTGGGCAAGTGTTGTGGCTTCTTGTTGCACGCAGGCTGAAGTATGCCCCAATCGAGCAGCGTGGGAACAAGGACTTGATGATACAGGCAATGCGGCAGGCTTGGCTTGCTACAGCCCATGCATCTCCCCACGGATCTTCCGAAGCACTTGGAGCCTCGCGCATGGTCAGGCACAAGGTCCCCAGAGCTGGAAGATTATGCTATGTGGAACCCAAGAGTTGTGATCTTAGTTCTTTGTGTCAGCCACCTTTTTAGTGTAGACCTTGACAGTTGACAAGGATCCTTGCAGACCGAGATGTTCTCTCTGAAGCTGTGAAGCAGGCTCGTAATGCGATTGCCTGTGTTCGGCTGGGATCCTATTGTCTGAGCAGGACTACAGCGTTGGAGCCTGGGAGATGTTTGGCATAGTGTTACCTTCACGTCTTCTGGCACGTGTTGGCAATGAGCTCAGCAGAACCGTCCGCTTGCTGCCTGAGGCCATGGCATATGCATCAGATTACTACAGCGATCGGAACTTCATGCTGCAGGCACCAGAAGTAGGGGGCTGCCAGGCATAAGTCCCGCTGTACCTTAGCCAAGCCTCTTGGTGACAGGCGGTGCAATCACATGGAGTTGCTTTGCAATATGGCACAGAGGAAATTCGCTGCAGCCTCACCATCGCACGATAGAAAGTGCCCGTAGCCGCATTTGAATCCTGTCTCAACAGGTTCTGATCCAGATCTTGCATACATTGCCGTCGGATCCTCCGCAATGAACGCTGCATGGACTGTTGGTGCAGTGGCATGCAGAGGTGAAAGCAAGCTGGCGTGCTCTACGAAATGTGTCTGAGAAGCTGCGGGGATCTTCGCGCATTGCCACGCTCCCGAACCAATGCCAAGTTCTTGGGTTCTGGACTGGTCCTGGAAGGTCCGAGAGGCCGTGAAGCAGTGCTGGCAAGCGTTGGAGTATGCCTCAGAGGCACATGCGGGCACATGCGGTCTATCACTGCGGAGCTTTTGCAACGGCTTTCCTTGGTCTTTCAATTTGAAGGAGCTTCAGGATGACAAGGATGTGGTGAGTGGTGTGCTCGGAGGGCTGACGAAAATCAAACCAGTTTTTCTTGTGCGTGCTGGCTGAGATCTCGCTGTGAAGCAGACTTGGCGTGCACTCCAGTTTACTGCTGGAGACCTACTCAATGTCCTGTTGCTGTTGTCCCTCATCTTCGCCGGTACCAGCTTCTTAGCTTTCTGTGTCCCTACACCATGTGTTCCGATACCCAGTCTGGCCGGTTGCGGGGTGATGCCAGCTTTGTGCTCAAAGTGGCCTCACAAAGTATCGCGGCTCGGCTATGATCCTGATCTTTTTTGCTTTGGCATTTGCCTCTTCTGACGACTGGTGTCATTTGCGTCAGGATGCGCTTCACTTTGCAACTGACGCGCTTTTGAACAATCCCGAGTTCATGCAGCAGGCGAGACAAACTTTGGCAACAGCACCTTGCTTAGTTCACACGACTAAGTTGGGCTGATCTCAGAGACTGCCTGCAGGCGGTGCAGCTTGATGGCATGGCGCTACGCTTCGCTGTGCTGTTCCAAGCTGCTTGCGGCAATGCCCTGGGCAGGATGACTGCAACACTACATCCCGTACTGAGATGTACTGAGGCAGAGGCTGTGATCGACCGACAGCTGGTGCTGCAGGTACAGCCTCGTTGTCTGAAGTTTTTTAGATTTTGATTGGAAGGCAGTTCAAGGGAATTGGCGTGCACTTCAATATGCTCCTGAACGGCTTCGTGCAGACAGGGCGGTGGTTTTGGAGGCATAGCTGCAGCATAGCTGCAGCCGTGCAGTTGGAGCTGCTTTCAAATAAATGTCAGGCCGTTCGACAGCATCATTCGGCACTGCAGCTGGCAGCTCCTGAAGTGTTGCTCGATGAGGCCTGGACTCCGATACTCCGTGGTCGCTTCCAGGCCTCGTGTTCGATGTAGCACTTGCAGGAGTTGATCTTCGAAGCAGCCCGACGGCGACCGGACCTTCTGCGTGACGGCCTCAGAAGGAGAGGAAAATTGTACAGGCCTTTCTGTGGAGCATATTGCCTGAGAGGTTGCCTGCCGGATACACCTCGCTCGAGCAGAGGCTTGCATGACAGGTCTGCTATACCATCCGAAATCCTGCAGAGTGTGTTGCGCGAAGGCCTGATGATGCGCATGGTCAAGTTGCACCCAATGTCGCTTCAGTATGCTGCGGACAACATCCGTGTTTCGCTTGGCAGCTATTGAACGGTGCGTGTTGCTTTCGTCAAGTTGTTTCCCATCCCAGCATGGTAAACATGTTGTGTACAAGGCGGCGATGAAGAGATTGTGTTGGAGGCGCTCGTTGGCTGACTTTACCAAAGGCCTCATTTTGCACCAGATATGAGCGTCGAAGGCTCTCCGACGCAACTGGAGAAGCTTTCAGTTTGCCACGACCGAACTGAAATCATCGACGGGACCCGAGTCGAGCTTGTTCTTGATAAGCTGGATTTGCTGGGTGTATTGTTCTGGGACAAGTGACGTTTCAAGTTTCCAATCCAGGCAGAGGTTCCTCCTGCAGGCTGTGCAGTTGGACGCGAGGAACCTAGCATTCAGGTCCTACCCGCTGATATGCAGATGGCACTGTGGATGTCCCGGCAAGTAACTAAGTTTTGCTGAAACGGTTACTTCTGGATTTCACTCATCCTCCCAGCTAGGGTCTTTTCAGGCAGATGGATTGTTCATAAGCCAAGGCACTTGTGCTGTCCTTGGCTGATGAGGAGCTTCGGAAGGTGGGCCCACACTTCATCAGTTACATAAGTTCATATTGTGACGTCCTGGCTACGATGAACCAGGACCCACAGATCGTTTGCGAAGCCGTGGAGCGGGAGTTAGCCCCCCAGTCTTGACGTGGATGCTGAATGTGAAGCACTCCAACATGCAGACATCTCACCAAGGTGGGAGATGCTTCAGCATGTCTCCGAGGACTCAGCTAGAGCAGCGTCTTGCAGCTAGTAACACCAATCTGTTTTCATTGTAGGATCTTCGTGGCAACCATGCCTTCATGCTGGAAGCCGTAGGCGTCCAACTTCACCTTGATAAAGTGCTTGTGTAGATCAGACTTGTTAAGATCAGGCATTGAGGGCCTGTCGCTCAAGTATGCCTCGGAAGAACTAAGCAGGGGGCTCGCGAAAAGGTTGGCAAAGTGGTGCTGCGCAGCTTGCAGTATGTACGAAGGTCACGATCGTGAGCTCGTTGTGGCAGCAATTGGAAATTCTGGGCAAGCGCTGGAGTTTGCTGCTGCGTCCTCAGTGAGCTGTCGCTGAGAATGGCTTCGGTATGCGTCGCCTCATCGCTTCTCTGGCAAGGCTGATGAGCTTCGTCGTGATCCTGAGATTGTTTTGATGGCCACGCGGCAGGCCGGACTGATTGACAGTGTGAGGCAGGCGCTTGACAACTGCTCTATGAGGACTTTGAGGCCATTTGTTACGCTGATGAAGCCTTGACCACCGACTTTGGGCGGGCAGCTCATATGCCACTCACGTTTTTATCTGAATCTGCCGCTTGCTTGTGTTTGATCCATCCATGTAGGCGCACTTGTCAAGAAGTGACAGATACCTTTGCACTCTGTCGCGCTCTGTTGCGTCTTGTGTGGTGCCAAGTGGTCCGCCTCTTGCCTCGTGCCCTGAGGTTCATGTTCAGAGCAGTGCGGGTAGATGGGCTGGCATTGAAAGGTGCTGGTGCCTGAGCTTTTTCAGCTTCAATATGTCACATATTCCCTTGGTCACTGGTTGCTTTTGCTCTACCAAGGCCTCCATTGATTTGCAAGCCGATCCGGACTTAGTCCTGGCAGCAGCCCCTCATCCGCAAGATAATGCAGCAGGATGCAATATCTTGCAGGAATCGCAAATGATGGGCCCATCGCTGTCGCTTGCATCACTTTGACTGGCTAGCTGCTCAGGTACATCAGAACTGGCGTTCGTTGAGCTATGCCAACCGGTCGCTGTCATCAGCCAAGACTTCCTGAGTGTATGTGCTGCTGGAGGATGACTGAGACTTGACTTAGGCGAGCCAACCTGGACTTCATGCTTCAAGCTGTGGGTCCGACATTGCTGCTACGTCTCCACTCAGGAGCATTGTCTGGAGTCCTAAGCCGCAGGTTTGAACAGCTTCGCGCTGGCAATGGCAGCGGAGGACAGACGGGCATGAGAAAGTCGAAGCCGGCCTCTCTTTGCGACAGTTTGTGTGCCAAAGCGGAAATTCCGAGCATGGGTTGAGAGGAGCTCTGGATGAATCCACAGTTGCTGGCCGCTGCTGCGCAGGCCGTGGATTAGTGGTACTTACAGGGCAGCTTCGTGCCAACAAGCTGCTATCCTGTAGACTCTGCAGAACAGCAGAGAAGGAGGATGGAAAAAGCTTACACAAAATCACCCCTAGCACATGATTCTTGCGTGTCATAAGTTCAGGAGCCCTCCGAGGAGTCTCCAGGCATGGCACTCAGCGTGAGGAGTCAGACTGGCATTCGCGTCGACCTTGAAAGAAACAGTACCGGGAAGCAACCCTGAAACTGAGTGAGGGTGTCAATCTGGCGTCGCCACCACCCGCAAACAGCATGTGGGCTGTGAGCCTGTGCCGTAGACATAGTTGAAAGGGACTCTAAAACTTCAACTTGCTATTCCAAACATGGGAAGATGTGCGGAACCTTCAGCATGCAGGAATCATTTAGCCGTGTCAGCAGCAGCTATGACATCCAGGTGTGGAGAAGAATGCGCCAGAAGTTGTCGGGGCCCCATGTCAAATAATTCTTGTGAGACCGATGCATAGCCGCAGGGAGTCGATCTTCGGCGGTTACTGCAGCAAGCTCGACCCAACTGGCCGGAGCCCTGCGGGCCGTTTGTTGGTGCTACGGTATCTGGTGCTATGGTGTCAGCAGCGTGTCAGCATGTCTTGTAAAGGTCAGAAGCAGATCTGCAGTCCGCAGAGCCAGCCTGGCTGTTTGAGCCCACGTGATGTCGCCTGTTTGCCCATGCTGCCGCTTGCAAGCAACATTCATGGTTAGTGCAAGCGCATTGTTGATTCCATGGCTTGTTGTGAGCAGCCCGAGCCAGGCAGAAGCTGTCTGTTATTGGCGTGACCACGGTACCTCTTCTTGCGCAGGCATCGCTCGAAGGGATTGCGAGCCCTCCCGCACTAAGACTTTTTTTGTGTTGTGCAGGCAGCTGCCAGCGATCTGAACGGTCGTCTGCGTGCGGCAGGGCAGAAGATTTTCACGGCCACAACCGTCATGGAGCATCATCCCCAACTTGTTTTCTGCTGTCCGAACCACTAGAGTTTCGTTTTGCTCCCAGGCTCAAAGCACGCTCAGCAGCGTCCATGGCAGAAGCGGCTGCAGCAGATGCTGAAGCTGCAGCAGCTGTTGCACTTGCGCTTGGAGCTTGGACTTGCGCAGAAGTCGATCTGCAAACTTCAGCGGACGGACGCGAGGCAGCAGCGCCGCAGAACAAAAGCCGGTGCAAGGTCACCATCTGCATGGCAATAACAGCATACGTTCACATGTTTCGGAGCGAATGGGATCACTATGGGAGCTCTTCAACGCAATGGCTTTATAATGCAAGCAGTTTTTTTTCCGTCGAAACATGTATCGCCTTGAGCGTGGGTCAGGCCGAATGCCCGCCTTACATTCTGAACCGGCCGGTGCCTTCCCAGCAACATGCAAAGCCAGGGCTGAAGCCTGCTGTCCTGACAGGTCCCACACGGAGTGCCCTGACATCACGGAGGCTGGAGGCCTAGGTCTGGAAGGCGTTGCTCGGCGCTGGAAGCGCAGCTTCGTCCTCACAAGTTTGCAGTTCGCCGGGCTTGCAGCCCTCCTGTGCGGTCATACCCAGTGGCGGCTGCAACATCCTGGAAACAGGAGGAGAGTCACCACAAGCTTCGCTCGATGCCCAGCTTGAGGTGCATTTAACTTAATCCGTAGCTAGTCGACTCCGAATGGAGAAGTGGCGGAGGATATGAGGCACGTCCTTACAAGCAGGGCGCAGCAAAACCGGAGCTGGAACTGTGTTTACGGTTTGTTTTTGCAGTTGATGCCCTATGGCTAAACATTGCTGGTTGGGATTGACAGTTCGTGGACGTCTCAAATTCGAACGACAAATTGCCGGTATGTGCCAGATGTTTGTGTGGTAATTTGGGATAGGGTTGCGTTCTGGTTGCCCTGGCCCTGGTTCAATAGCCCTTGTGCCTTGCCTGAGTGTTCTGTTTGTACAGGCGATGTTGGCGCTTTGCTGCTTGTTTGGAGAGGGGACCTTGCAGACTCTGTTCTCTGACCTGATGTTTATGCACACGCTGGAAGGCCTTAAGATTCTTACTGTCCCAGGATTGGAGATTTGTTGAGCACACTGTGGTTGCTCTGTGTGTCGAGATGGGAGTGTAGCCTGAGTTGTGCATGCTTGACCTGGCCGTTGCGCTGTGAGCACTCAGCTGAGCCAAACAGCTTTGCCATAGGGCGGTGATGGAAAGCTTGCATGCTACATCATGCCGCTACGCAAAACAAGGGTGCAATCCATCACAAATCTCGCAGAAGTCACACCACAACAATACGGACTTCACGCCAGGTTGTTGCAGCAGTCACCGCAACAGCTAAGCACAGCATCCGTCTAACTTATGATCGCATGTTTTTGTTGCAGGGTGCTTGCAGCATGATGTGGGGCTGGGAGATGCACTGAGCTGCCTCATGGTTTGGCTTTGGCCATGCGTCCCTCCACAGCTGAGCGACGCGGCAGGGCTACATGATTGTGTGGCTATTCGCTTCAGAGTTGCTTCCTGAGTTCTACAGCCAGGTGGTCGACACAGCCAGGATGATTCGCTGCACGACAGCACGCGCGAGACCTGCAGCCCACTTAAAGTCCCGGCACCTTCTGTGACAATGGGCCTAAGGAACTCCCCTCCAGACTCCCCCCGAGATCATGGATGGAGGAAATGGAGGCTCGTGTGGAGACGCGGCTATGAGACTGCTTGAGTTTGTGTCAATTTCGGAGGATAAACAAGATCGTTTCGAGGCTTGTGATTGCTTTGTCCGCAGCCCAGTGCTATGATTACACAGCGCCTTAGTTGTGCCCTTGCGGATGCTCATTCGCAGTGCGCGCAGGGATTTAAAACGCGAAGCGTTGGAGCAGTGCGCTGGCAGGGTCAGGGTAGAGCGGAAACATGCTGAACTCAGGACTGCAATTTTCCTGCCTGGCACCTGTTTCAGGGGCGGTTGTAGTTCAAACTTTTGCATCCCCATAGTATGTCATGCACAAGATTTTTGTCCAATCGCTTTGAAGCCTTTTCTGGAGCCAGGGATATTCTAAAGTCTAGTTCCTCAAGCCCTGGAGCCTTTCAACAAATCCTTAGCCCGTTGCTCATTAAGGATAGGGCTGCTGGTCCGCGGGCCAGGTTTGGGAGGCTTCCGCACAGCTTCAACTCGAGCACTACGTTGGACATCTAAACCTCACCTTTGGGGGCACACATTTTGAGATATGACAGCTTGTTGTTCATGACAGGTGCCTCTGCGACAAAGCATCGCTTGAAGGCCAGATAGCAGAAGCCCTTCTACTAAGTGTTAGATGGATTTAGCAGCTTTAGCATTTAGCTCTGTCAGGGCACAGCCCTCCTGTCGAAAGGCCTGCAGGCAGGATGCGGGTGCGTTAGCGTGGACCTGCATTTCTTCTTGTAAACTTACGCCACTCAGCGTCACCAGCAGCTTTGTGCTAAGCACGACCCGAGATTCAGGCGACCTTGATTGAGCCCCTGCCTGTACAACCAAACAGGCAGCACTCGCAGGAAAATCTTCCTGCATGTTCTGCGAGGAAAAGAACCGACCTGCAGATGCCAGCGAGGCCTTGCATGGAACTCTGAAGTTGCACCGTGCAATTGATCTGTATGCCAGGACGATGTACATATAGCAGATGATGCGAAGGAGACGCAGGGCTTGGACTTGAAGGTGGTTCTGGTTTCATCCTTTGTCTCGCCTTGATTGTTGCGGGCTGGGCTAGGAGCGCCCGCCGCGCCCTTCAATCGCGCAAGCGGATGAGGCGCATTCCTCACGCGAAGTATCACAATAGATTTGGATGACTTGCGGCAGGACACGGTACAGGTGGCCGAGGATGCCAAGGAGGGACCACACCAGACAAAATTGAGCAAGTGCTGTATTCGGCAAACTGAATCAGACAATCCTTCTCGTTTCTGCATCTCCTGAAGCTACATTCCCAGCGCGGAGCTAGGTGTACATTTTGACTAGATACCCGCTGTTGGCAAACTTGCTTCAGTCCACTCGAGACAATCCCAAAACCGGAGTCGACCACCAAGCTTGCCTGTCCCAGGAGAACCCCGAGCATTCACCAAGCACAGCACCAGATGAGGCTTGGCCGGTTTGTTTGAAGATTGGCCTCCCCCAAAAATTCCAAGCGGTCCTCGTGTAACAGATTTTGATTTGTTTTCACCCATGCGTCTGGGAAGGACACCATTCAGGTGGCCAACGACATGCCAGAGAGTTCGCAGGACGGCTAGAAGTGTTGGGAAGTAATGGCTGTGCCGTGCTCTGCTCTGCCTCAGAAGCATTGACGCAACGCAGATGGAGTTTTGTGAAGCGATTTTCTTGTTTGTGGTTCGCCTGGCTTGGTAGTTGCGCAACACCATGGCCTTATCACTCTGAACATGCAACATTCTTCAACCATGTTTTGGATTCCTCTCTGCTTCTGAACATGTCCAGCTGGCAGGGCTTAAGCAACATGGCATAGGCTGTCTAGTATATAGTCTGGCGACTGCAGGAGCGCCCAGCAAGCTCTTCAAGCAAGGCCGACGAGGTGCCTGTTGTTAGTTAGACCAGCGCACCCTTGCAGCTAGCCGCCGCATGAACCCGCATGCGCCCGGATGCGCTCACACGCCGCCGCACTTCCGCAGATTTGTGGCGCAGGACACCATTCAGGTGGCCAACGACATGCCAGAGAGTTCGCAGGACGGCTAGAAGTGTTGGGAAGTAATGGCTGTGCCGTGCTCTGCTCTGTCTCAGAAGCATTGATGCAACGCAGAGGGAGTTTTGTGAAGCGATTTTCTTGTTTGTGGTTCGCCTGGCTTGGTAGTTGCGCAACACCATGGCCTTATCACTCTGAACATGCAACATTCTTCAACCATGTTTTGGATTCCTCTCTGCTTCTGAACATGTCCAGCTGGCAGGGCTTAAGCAACATGGCATAGGCTGTCTAGTATATAGTCTGGCGACTGCAGGAGCGCCCAGCAAGCTCTTCAAGCAAGGCCGACGAGGTGCCTGTTGTTAGTTAGACCAGCGCACCCTTGACTGCCTGCAGCGAGCCGCCTCATGCGACCGCACGCCGCACTTCTGCAGATTTGTGGCGCAGGACACCGTTCAGGTGGCCAACAACGTGCCAGAGAGTACCGAGGACGGCGGATTGCGAACGGAGCAACACCATGTTACGGGCGCAGCTCTTAAATGCGGACGGCGCCGTCGTTTCTGGAATTGCCTTTAAACAAATCATTCCTCGTGTCCTGACGAGGAGCCCTCCACGAGCTCATCGGTGGCAGCTCCTAGCAAGGCACTGGGTTTGTGCTTAGTTTTTTTGTAGGGTTTAGGAGGTCGCACCAGCGATCCAAGTTGGATGACGCATTCAGAAGCCATGGCGGGAGCCAAAGATGCAAACGTGGAATCTTCAACGACACGAGAAATATTGATTGGCAATCTTGCTCAGGCAGCCAAAGCCACACCCTGTTGAGCATGCTTGCACAAACCAAACTTTCCTGGTGCCATGTTCTAAAAGATGCGATTTCTACGTTTTCGCCTACGACAATTCATGTACAACGTAGCAAGCTTGGCCTTGTTGTCAGTTTTGCACGATGGAGCTTATTCCCGCAGCCAGGAAACTTGCTTGAGTTGTCTTCGCTGCAAATATTTCAATGTTCTATCATCCGTGCATACAGTGCAAGTGGATTGCTTGTATAGTGACCTCGCAGACCAAAACACCTTTTTATTGCTGGTTCATTTTCTTGTCAGCACATGTCTGGCCTTCCCGAGACGATACTGCGTCTGCTGAGAGCTGCCGCGCACCTTATGCATAGCTTGTTCCAAAGCAATTTGTTTGGGGTCTTTTTGTAGCTGATAATATGGAAGTCTGCTTTTGCTCATGTTCTGTCACAGGCCGATGCTGGAGAAGTGGCCAAGGAATCTTCTCAGGAGGGGCTCCGTGTCGTGCTAGTCCTAAGGGGAGGTCTCAATTTCGGGGACCGTTTTGAGGCAGGCCTGTCATCGCATTCCAAACAGAGCGGCTGCAAGGAGCACACTTTCCCAACAGCGTCCACGGGAGGCGGAAGCCAGGCAGTTGAGAACAGACTCTGCTGCTCAACTTTCGGCTATTTCTGCCGTCTTCCTGTCAGGCGGAGGTGAGGGCAGAGGCAAACAAGGAGTGACCTTGAACCGTTGCCTTGCACGGCTTGCTGCCACTACGCGCTTTGTAAGTAACGCCTCGTGTGATCAGATGACGAGGAATCACCAGAAATGAAAGGAAATGACCCGAACTGTCGCTAGTTTTCCATCGCACGCAGGAGGCTCTTCAAGCGAAGCAGTGCCCTTGGTGTTGACTGCGGTGACAGTTGGATTTTCTCAGAATCCCGGCTTCTTCTCTGGGGTCCGATGCCTAGGCCTGACATGGATCTAGCAGAGAGCTTCGAGAAGGTGCAGGTGAGGAGGGAAGGCCTACCAACTTCCCCAGCACCCGCTCCGTAGCAGAAAGAGCTGGGGAGGAGCTACCCACCCGGCCACCCACGGCCGGAACATTGGCTCCAATTCCAACCGGAGGGCAACCTGGCACGGGTGTTGAAATCGAAGGGTCTGTTTCAAGCAGAGGTGCCCCTCTTGCGCGGACCAAAGCACATTCATGCTCAGAAAGGGAGTCTCAATGTGAAAGCTCATTCAATCAAAGGCTGTTGTGAGGGCTTCGTGTTGATATTGGCTTTGTTTTGTCAGCGTGTGATTTTGCAGTAGCCGAGGCAGATGCCCATGGAAGTGGAGGTGGGCAGCAACTATGTAGATCATCGGATCGGTAGTTCTATCATTTTGAATCACACATCAAAGTTGAGACTGAGCTGCAGGGGCTACACAGAAGCTGATGCAAGGCGCCGATGGGATTCTTGTGGCCTGATGTCCTTGGCACAGGCAGCAACAGACTCCGGTGCCCCAAAGGCAGCTGAGCCCAAGTCTAAGTCAGAACGCTGCAATTTGATGTTCCTGCTTCTATTAAAGATTATGTAAGGCCAGTGCCCACTGGTGGTTCACAGCACGCCGGACACGCCACTTGAGCAGCACGGAGAATGGAAAGGATCCCTTACCAAAATCGACTTGTTCAAGGTGACTGCGGAGTCAGTGCTGACGTTGGGCTCCCAGTTTTGGAGCTTGCAGTGATATTTCAACTTTGTGCCGCAGTAATTTGGATTGCGAGGCGCCTGGCAAAGGAAGAGCCTGAGCCGTCCACATCTGCTCAAGCTGATCCGGCCAAGACCCTCAGAGACCTTTGCGGCACATGTGTAGCAAACAACAAAGGCAGCAGCTGTAGATTTGCCATGCTAGATGTCACTTCTCAAGCGCGCAGCACTATGTCAACGCTTCGACCTCTTATGTCCTTAAAGCAATCAGCGCATCTGGCAAATCTTTATGGGATAAGAGGTGCAAGATGGGGAAGCTGTGTACTTCCAACTGCAGAAGTCAAGGTTCTGATGGGAAAATCTAATTCGGGTTGTTCCGTCATGTGTGCCCTCGGGGGTGTGCACTATATCCCAGCGGTCTTAGCGTGAAAGCCTTCGAGGCTGCATGTGTTTGTGGCGCGCCACTGGGGTTTGGCTACGCATGCTTATGCAGGAAAAGGTCTTGGGGCTGACTTTCGGTCTCAATTTCGCGTTGTGCCACCACTGGGATTTGCCTTCACATGTTTCCTGCAGAACCGTGCTGGATGCAGGGACCGGACACCGGCAAGCCAAAAAATGGCAGGATAGATCATGATGTGTTGATGTGTGATTGCTGTGTCAGCTGTCCAGTCAAAGGTCACTGCCCAAGCTGAGCCAGCAAACATGCAGATGCCTCAGGGGTGACAGCTGCTGCTTCTGTGTCCAAAGCGATCGCAAGGCTGGCAAATGCAGCGCCAGAGACTCCTCCAAAAGAGACTGGGGAGGCCATGCTCTGGGCAGGCGAAGGACATTGGTTGCAGAGCGCTGCTTTTTCGGATAGGTGGCGGCGGAAAATGCCGCCATGCCGCAGACTGATTCAGAGCATGGCTCAGAAGTTCTGTCCGGATGTTGCGAGTCATTCTCAATGGCCACGCCACGAATTACATCGAATTGCTGGGAATTGCAACGTACATGGGATCTCAGCATTGAAGTCCTTTAAGAGCGTCGCAGCAATTTGATCCAGACCCCAGGCTGTTTTAGGATATCCCTGTCAAGTTGCTGCCTAGCTGTTTGACCCCATGTCCAGCTGGTGCAGGGCTGAGGCAAAAAAACAGCCCCCCCCCCTTCCCCCCCACCAGGAAAGGACTGCAACACTCGACCCGAATCAAGGAGTATGGAGACGGGTTCATGGCAAGAAATCCAAGCACCGGAGGTTGCAGTCACGACGTCTGAAGCTCCGTCACCCGCTCCTCTGTCAGTGGGCTCAGCGTCTGGCAATTCCAATCTGCAACAGCAACGATTGAAGAGCTTCCTGTTTTCCTGGAAGTTCCAGGACAGCCAGCGAGGCTGCGAAGACGCATGCGCCCATGGCACCAGTTCCCGAGCAGGACGGATCTGACCTGGACTCATGTGAAGCAGTTGGCAAAGGGTTTTGATGCACGGATGCACTGATGGAAGGCTTCGTCCGCATCGGTTGCCGTTGAGAAAGATGCGCTCGAGCCTGAGGCGAAGTTTTATGTTCTTGCATTGTTTAATGTTTTCTGTCAGGTTGTCCATCATGGACGCTCAATCTCCCTCCAAAGATCTTGGACAGGTGGGGGCATGATTCCTTGCATGGCAAGCAGAGGGCCTTTTCAAATTTTTGGCCAGGTGCGTGCGGAAAGCATGGTGAGGCAGACAATGGAAATCTGAGCTTGCTTTTGGCCAATGGTGCCGTCGAATCTGCATCCATCTGCATGCTAATATTGCTAGCAGCTACAAGTCCTTGGTTTCAAAGGTAATCGCTGCACCAAACTGTTACTTTTGCACGTATCCTTGCACAAGATTTTGCAAGGCCACCAGAGAACACGGAGCAGACAGAGCCAAGCGTTGGGCAGGCCTGAAGGGGTAAGTGAACAGTGCGGACCACATCGACACAGCCCTGTTACATGTTTCCAGGGTCAGCCCATTTTTGATTAACCTATCCGCATGACATCAGCTGTGCTGAGTTGTGATCTGTTTTTGAGAGTCTTGCAAGCATGGACAGAGAGACTGTTGAGAGCTAGGCCGTCGAAACAAGAGCTGAAATCAAAGCGGAGTCGCCGTCCTTCCCTCGGTAGCCTTGAGTTCATCGTGTGCTTAGCGACATGAGCTCCTTTGGACAATTATGGCAATTGGCTTTCCCCTTTGCGTATTTCTTTCAAGGTCCTTCTGCTAAGGAAGTTTGAGACTCTGGTGTTGTTCGTATGTCCTTGCAGCATAGTCAATCCGTGCCACAGGGCTGCCGAATCACCGTAGAATACGGCATAGATGATTACGACTTAGGACTGCAGCCGAGACGAACCGCGAGCAGGCGAAGGCTCACCTGCTTGCCTGGCCATTCCTGTATTTTCCTTGTGCCTGCTTCGTCAGAGGTCGCAGTCGCTGAGCCGCAGCTGGAGGCCGGGACAAGCGCAGGATCTTTTCTCTGCTTCAGTGGTGTCCTCTTCTGTCTTAGTCTGTCTTGCACGCTGATGGTGGCAAGGTGAGTGGTGTTGGATCGGTCAGGCCGGCCTCCAAGAATCTCCTTTTTTGCAAATCAAGAATGGGTACTATAAGAGCCTTAAACGGCAAACTCCAAATTGCGGCCTGATTCTGGACTGTGCCTTCTGTTATCGCGTTAGAGTCACGTGTAAAGCACAAAAGATGATGGGCTTGCTTGTTTTGCAGGGATTGAAGTACAACCTCAACTCTCGAGACATGTGAGACACTCCATGTGTGTCTCAGGTCGGATGCGAGCGAGGTCAAGTTGTCGCATGATCTTCCGCTGCAAGAGGCATGCTGTATCAAGCAGTATGAGAGATGCACCGAAAATCCTTCGGTCTCATTTGTGGGAGACTGTGGGACATGTGGAAGAAGGTCGCAGATGTGCACGTTGAGTCAGAAGATGTACAGCTCGGAGCTTGGCATGGTGGCAGCACTTCCTTTGCATTTGTGGAATGTATTTCAGTGTGCAAGTCCAGCAGCTGGCACGAAAACGCTTCATGCATCTGTGAGCATTTGTTTTGTTGCAATGAACGGCAGCTCTCCCAAAAGCTTATCACATAGCTTATCGTACAGCTTTGCGGGTTCTTACAGAGTTTTGCCTTGATGCAAATGAAGTGCACCAAAACCAAGGACACATTCTTACTTGTACGGGTTTCATGCTAGCCACTCGAAAGCAGCATGCAGGCTGACTGATGATGCCTCCATCTCGGAAACACGACGTGGATGAGAGACTGTGGTAGCCTTGTCGCCAGAGCGAATTTTAGGCTCAATCTTCGACATCGCTGGCAGCGGTGAGTGCCCTGGGCACAGACTCTGCAGCTTGGGGCGTGTTGAACATGCTGCAGCCTGTTTGAGGATGGGACCCTGCTAGAGAAGGCGGAAGGTGCTGTAATGCGAGCCGAAGCAGGCGCTGTTGCACTGAACCTGACTGGACCTGATGTGCATGGGATTTCTTGATTGGAGGTCTGCAGCAAGCTGAAAAGGATCTGGCACAGACAGGGGGCCAGGTGCTTGAGCAGGCAGCATGCTGTGAAGTACTCACAAGTGTAATCTTCGTAAGGCCATGTTTGCATCGGTCCCTTTTGCCTATGGGGTAAAATGTGGACTTACTGGGTGGGTATACAAGGACAGGGGTACTGGGATAAGGGTTCGCTCCTAAGGGTCCCTCCCGAGAGCCCTTGGCCCTTGGATCCCTTGGAAAGACTCGTATCGACAGCAGCTCATTAAAGCATCGAGATGGCAGTGTTTGGCGCCTCATGTTCATTGCCACAACAGGTGCAAAAAGTTGCTGCTGCTGGGCAAGAGATGCTCCAAGGAGTGGAGGAAGAAGGTTCCGCCGTAGCTCGTGAAGTGCAAAAAGCCGTCGCCGAAAGTGGTGAGATGCTGTCGAGCGAGGCGAGCTTCCAAACATCAAATGTTTTAAGTGTTACCAAATCTTGGCAATGTCTTTCCCGCAGCGATGTCAGGTCGCAAAAGTGGCCTCGCTGGCTTCACCAAAGTGAGTGGAGCTGCTTCGATTAAAAACGGACGGAGCAGCAATGCCATTGTATGCCAGTGTATGTGTGTTTGGAGATGCTCGGAACATGTAAGCCGTCCTTTGTATTTACCTCACAGCAGGTACTGCATGCTGGGAAGGCATTTACGACCCTGCATAATAGAAGCAAGAATATGCAAGAGTTGGGGTGCGACCATGGCTCCTCTCAAGACGCATTTGGCTCTTCTGAGCCACATCCTGTGCCCTGTGGCCGCCTTTGCTCCTGGAGCCGGCGAAGCTGGTGAGTTGGCCTTCGACTACGACACGTGGGATGCGCGCACGACCGCCCGCATTCTAATGAACATCCAGACTTCCGAGGCCTTCCAAAGCGTGGTGCTAAAGCTTTTCTGAGTGCAATGCAGTGCTTGCAGGCCGCAGATGCCGGCCTGGCAACTCGAGAACTCGAGCGCGCGGCTGAGGCAGCAATCTTGGAGGATTTGGAGCTGACCTCCCCTGTGCAAGCTGCAAAGCTCTGGAGGCATTCGGTATAGGACATTCAGCTGAAAAGAGATTTTTGTTCGATCTGCCCTGTAAGGTTGCCGCAGCGCTTGGACGATGGCAGCTACAATCCCGCATGGTTGGCGGCCAGGCGCTGGAGGCTGACGGCAGGCAGGTTTTACTCGGTCCGCCGGGTCGGGAAGCACAAGGAACTGGCCAAGAATTGGTTGGACCACTGGTGGTACCGTGGCCAGGAGAGGCTGAATCATAAGATCAACAGGTCTCATGACTTTGAGGACCGGGTGCTCTGTAAGTACCAACGACAACATGGCGAGGGTGTGCAGCAGGTGGGTCTCTTTGTCCACCCCGAGTTACCTTGGCTTGGAGCCTCCCCAGACGGGCTTCACTTGGTTGACGAGAAGCCTTTGCACCTCATCGAGGTGAAGAGCATGAGGACATTGCTTGGCAGAAGGTCTCCAGCCTGGCATCAGGTGCAAGGTGCTATGGCAGTCGCTTCTGCTGCGCTTCCGATCCCGGTCCACAGCTGCAAGCTGATCGACCCCGTGGAAACATACACGGTCCGTTTTGAGGAGGAATGGTGGCTGCGGTATCTACAGCGGTTGAAGACATTTTATTTCGGGACCTTCCTGCCGCTGGCAGCAAAGCGTGTGCTGCGGAAGTTGGGGCGGGCTTGACGGCTGGAGAGCCCGAATACAACGCAACGACGCACAGAACGAGCTCACCAAAACGCCAATGGCTCAGCTTTCGCCTCGAGGAGTGTGAATGCAGCAGCAACAGGCGACGTCCACAAGGCCAAGATCGCATAAAATGACATCAAACATGGGTCCAGTGAACCTAAGCTGCCTAATTGAAAGCAAATGGGTCCGGGACATGTCTACGGGTCTTTCATGCACAAGCTGAAAGCCTCAGCTGCAAAAAATGCAATTCTAGCACTAGCAGTTGCAAACTCCATGCGTATCTTGTTTGTAAGCATGTTTAAGCGTACTGTTGAGGCACAGCAATCAGCCGAACTCCACGGTCATCCCGTACTCGAGCATCTATGGCACCGTCGCGAGACACAGGACGAGCCAGAGGCTTTCTTCTGATAGTTTTTTCTGTGGGATATTCCCTCACCCCAAATCTTGCTCCTCATGCAGCCACGGAAAGTATCAAGAGCAAGTTGCCACAGCATTCAACTTGTAGGCCTGCCATCCCTCGTGCTCGCTTTGTTTTGCATACTGGCAAGGCAAATCCCAGAATTTGACTTGCACAGGCCGTGCATCCAGACCTTGAGAAGATGGACGTCGTTCGCGGAGAGTACTCCAGCTAGTCGCCTGTGAATAGCTGCGGGAAGCAAAGCCAGACCGTTCCCACTGAATATCACTGAATGTTGTGGCCGGCACTTTGTTGATTGCCGCTTTGGTGAAGATCCTGCTTCACAGCTTTCAGTATTGCGCGACTCATGTAGAGCGCCGTAGGTCTGATGCGACACCCAGTCGGGCTTTGCTTGCAAGAGTCGGAGAAGTCGTGAGGTCGAGAGCATGTCGTTCAGTACTGGAGCTGGCGTTGGAAGCAGATGGAAGCAGAACACGCAGGCATGTGCTAAATTCAGTGCATGCTCCCTCTTGACGTCGTCTACAACCGGAAGCTGCAAAACATGCTGTCGCTGTACGCGGGCTCTGCCTGCAGATGTGAGATTTTTGGGGATTCAACTGAAGTTCATCGATGCTCGTAAAGATGCAAAGCTACTTCCAGAGGCAGGCTGCATCCCGCAGAGTTTCAAGGCCTTGAACATACCATGCGTTTTGGACACTGGCAACCCTATCGAAGTGCTCGGCCTGGATTGCACAAGGATAGCATGGGATAGCTGTTGTTTGTCAACCTTCTTTTGCATATTTATATAACCTGCACAGATGATGATGATGATGATGATGATGATGATGTCGTTGTCCTTGTTCATATGATGCATTATTCCGATGATGGACTTACGCTGTTCGCAAATGATGCGAACGCTTTCGTGACCGCAGTTTTCTAGTGTTCACATCTTTCACATTCCGCAGCCTGTCGACTTCGGTGCCAAGCAACACAAACTGCAACACACTGGCACGCAGCCAGATCCGCCCAGGCACTGCTGGCATTTTTAGGCGTCCTGATTCGCAACACATTTTTGCGAGGCGGCTATACCATCGAACTCTCACATGTTCCTGCGCTCCTAGTCTGGCTGCTGCGGACTTCTCCACCAAGTCGATACGCATGCTGCCTGCAAGACGTGCGGCTGGCTTTGAGGAGTCACTTCCCGCTCTGCCCGTGACTCTACACCTTCAGCTAGCTTTTTCTAGGCATCTCCGAGCTATCGGAAGGGCCAGGGAAGTAACGGGATTCTCAGCAAGCTGTTGATTTCGGACGAAGGCAGGCGGACGCTGCAGGCCATATTGCAGGTCGCGCGTGGAGCAATTTTGGAGGGTTGTACCATGTTATGCTACAGCAGAAGAGTGGTGGTTGGTCATAGAAGGCTCCACAAGAGGCCGCTTCTGCACGGCCACGGTTTCGGAACAATGATGTGAGGGTCCAAATGCGGTAGCCAGGATTGCTACGCAGCGGACGACTGCGACGCGCTGGGTGCGCCGAGAAGGTCACCGGAGCACTGCCACTTCGTCAGTCGAATGGCGCCGAGGCTAAGACAACTTCTCTTAGACATTATGGCATGCTGCGGCGATCGGGGAAAACTGATGGAGATGGCTACCCCAGGAGCTAAGTACATGATGCCAGCACAATGCAGCAAAACCGATCCTCTTGCTGACCTTGCTTTCCGCTTCGTTATGCTTCGTTCGGTTATTTTGAGCAACAACCCGACCCGACAGACTCCGGCAGACTTGCGGCGAGCCTTGGCAGCAGCTACGTGGGCGCGCTTTTGGTGTGCTCATTTTACGGCTTTTTCTCTGGTCCTGGTCGGATGCGCTGTGCCGGACCACAATTCCGTTCAGATGTTGCGTTACATGATGTTTCATGGGTCAGGAAATGCGAGCTGCTTGCGAGGGGTGAGGGCCGCTTGCAACAGCGCCCGGAGGGGGCGCAGCCATCGAATGGGTTGGGCAGGAGGGGTAATTATGCGGTGGCGCTCGAGGGGGCGGTGGGGAGTTGGATGCCTCAGATTGGCTTGAGCCTCGCTTTGCGCGTGCTTGTTTGAGGTGTCCGCCGTATATGTGCCGCGTGGGTGTCTGGGCAGCCGCAAGGCGCTCCCAGGCTAGAAGCAGCGTCGGAGGCCGGGGCATGCGACTGCGGGTCGTGTTGCGGCTGCAGCTTCGCGATCTCGAAAGCTTGCCCGGCTTTCAAGACGGTCGAGGCTGTGACGGGAAAGGGGCAACGTTGAAGGAGCGTCTGGTTGCAGCATTTCTGCCAGGTGCTTCACAGTCTGCAGCCTCAATCCTCACAAAGCATCGCGCGAGCGGGCGTGGCATACCCCAGCTCTCGCGAGCCGGGCCGCAGAAGTTGCTCGTGCTCGGTTGCGAGATCGGCTCCCGAGTGAGGAGCACTCTCCCTGCGTGTCCAGCTTGCGGTTACCAGCGCAGCGCTTGGACGACCATGGCCGGCTGCCCCGCAACCGGGCCCGAGCGACGGCCCCTAGCCGTCTCCCTCGGCGGACCTAAGCCGGGACCGCACGTGGCAGCGGGAGAAATTAGCCATAGCTCCGCGTTTCGGGGACTGAGGACACCTTCGTGCAGGCTTAAAATCCGCAGGAAAAAAAAGGCGGTGAGCCCCCCTCGCCCAAACAGCAAGAAAAACGTCCCCGCCCGAACAAACAAAAAGACTTGAAACGACCAAACAACAAAAAACAACGCAACACAAAAATAAACACTCGTACCGTTATGAGATGTTATGAGCAACTCACTTGTGGCTGTCAGCAAAGCAGCAAATGCGGAACAACGATAGCAGCACTGCTCAAACAATGCAGGTGTCCTTCATGAACTGCCCGCTTGAATCACACTTCGTATGTTGGCAGTTTTGACATGAGGTTTTGCCTTCGCGTGCGATGTTTCGAATTACATTGATAAGCATGGTGTACTTTTTTTTTGAACCTGTTGTGGTGACGCCATTGCTGCTTCCGCCCGTGTGTGCTCCGCGGCCGTTGCGGGATATTAGGTTGGTGCAGCCTCACTGTTTGTAGCGCGGTCCCTACCGCGTTTGGAAATGAACGTCATGCGTCGGAGTATGTCCCGAACACCGCCTGTTGCCAGAGCTCGTGGCAGTGCCACGCCTGTGCGGCGGCAAATGCCCTGTGTTCGTGGCATGTTACCACCCATTAACCCCACATCGCCGGAGCAATCAGATTTGCGTCATGTGAGTGGGAATCCCCTTCATGCGTCCCGTACTCTTACCAACTACTTCCGCGAATTGGAACCAGCCCACCGGGCCATCCTGCTCTCCCAGTCCGGCCAACGACAAGCAGCTGCCTGGCTTACAGCAGTGCCTGCGGACAGGGCCACCGCGCCCCCACCTGATGTGATGCAAGTCGCTTTGCGCCGCCGTTTGCGTTTGCGCTTGCCGCTGGGCCCCGTTACTTGCGGTCAAGAAGGCCACGGCTGCGGAAGACGGCTTGAGGCTTGCGGGGATCATGCCCTCGCATGCACGCGCACTGGCTACTTGGTTGAGCAGGCGTGGATCGCTGCTCAAATCGTCCCCCCGCAGCGGCTGACGCACACCTCCGCCCCGGGAAAACTGGCATCGGACCGCCGGCGCCTCGACCTCGTTGTGTACGGCGCCGCGATGCCACGCTTGTAAGCCCTGTCACGCAGGCGTGCCACATCCCAGCCTCTGGAGTGGCATTGTTGGGGGCTGAAAAGCGCAAACACAACAAGTATCCGGAGCTCCAGCTTGGGAGGACAAAGGCTGTGCATCCTATCCTGGCTACTGAAGTCGGGGGCCGGTGGAGCCGCGTTAGTCAGCTCGTCCCTGCCCGCGCTCTCCGGGCACCCCCGCCCTCCGGGTCTGTGCCTCGGCTGCCTGGGCCCGCAAGGGCTGGGGCATGCAGTCGGTAGTGGTCCAGCACGCGATAGGTGGGACAGCGTTGGCCGCGCCGTGGCTCCCCCGGGCGGCTGTCGGGCAGGAACCGCCCCTGGATCAGGGCCTGGCGCCGGTGGAGCCGATCGGCCCCAGCCGCCTGCCAATGCACTGAGCATGCTGTTCACGGCGCTAAGCACTGCGCGCGGCAGTGGACAAGGTGCTTTTTGGTGGAAAAAAATATCGTTTTCCCCATGATCCATCGGTTGCACAGCCAAAATTGCTGTTTGAAATGCTCAGCATACGATGAATCTAGTAAAGAGGCCCACCCTTTTTCTGCTATGATCTTTGCAGCCTCTGTGTCTTCATGCGCTGGCGGCAGGGTGACTTTGGACACTTCAGGGACTCTTTCACCTGCAGTGGGCAGCACAGGCTGCGCCGTGGCGTGGCATAACCCATGCGCCAGGTCAGCAATATGCACACGAAGCTTCCGATTGAGTTGCTCCAACGCCGCCGCTAGTTTCAGGGTCATTGTGCTCATCGACTGTTCCGGCTCCTGTCGACGTTGGGGTGGATTCAGAACCTCCACGAGGGCCAGTTGGCAATGCCTGTGCCGAGTGCCCCATTTTTTGCAGCGCGTTGGATGTGGAAGGTCAGCCTACATGGAATTGGCCATGCCCATGTCGGTTGCCGCTGC